GGAACAACACGCTATTTACTATCGACAATATGCAGATTGAAAATGTGGAAAACTTTACGTATCTTGGAAGTGTCATAACAGAAAAGGAGGTACAGAAGACGATATTCGTATGAGGATACGAAAAGCCCAACAAGCTTTCAGCACGCTCAACCCTGTTTGGAAATCTGGCGAGTATACTACAAGGACAAAGATCCGAATATTCCGATCAAATGTCATGTCTGTTCTACTCTACGGATGTGAAACCTGGAAAGTGACAAACACCCTCACAGACAAACTGCAGGTCTTTGTTAACAAATGTCTACGAAGAATTGTCCGTATATTCTGGCCTAACACCATCAGAAACGAAGATCTGTTACACCTGGCCGAACAAAAGAGGGTACAAAATGAAATTAAGTCCAGTACAAACTTGGAAAAGATCCATCATGGACGAGATAAGAGGCCAAGTAAAAGTCTTGGAATGAGGTGAAGGCCTGAGCGCAAAATAGAACCCGATGGCGCGTTCTCACTGAAGCTCTATGCTCCACTTAGGAGTTCAAGAACCTTATATATTGCTATGAACCCGAAACGAAAAACCAATCAACGGTATAGATGTTTCAAGAGCCAAAGACTATTGGTAAAAAACAGCCTTGGAAAAAACAACGTATAACATCTGAGTATTTGAAGGTAAAAAAACATCGATTTGTTGGGCCATCCTGCATACAATCCTGACTTGGCACCGTGTAATATCTGCGTTTCGGAGAATCAAAAGCAAATTACGCGGAAAACTTTTTAAGACTAGATGAGGCGGTCTAAGTATGCATAAATCTCATTTTTGAGTTATCTCTTCCAGACTAGCTAGATGTTTTCACGATTGGTTTATTTGAATGCAATGATCTTAATTCAATAGAGTTAATTTTTTTCAAGACTATGTTTTCGTTGTTTTATGAGTGCAAAACTTTTACTGTACGCCCCGTATCATTATTATAAAAACGTATCTTTTAAAACTTAAAGTGGGCTGTACTTTTTCCTTTAGTTTAAACTATCATTAAGACTGATTGATACATCGTTATTACCATAAATATATTAAATGTGCACATTTTATATTCGTTCTGTTCTTTGTTATCGTTTTATCTGTATTATTATCTGTTATCATCTGTATTGATTTTTTATTGCATATAAATTTAAAATACGAATGTGTCGCAAACATTAGTATTAGTACTTTTAAATTCTACAACTATTAATTTGTAAGGGTTACAGATTTACCCCTTATTGTCTTCTTACCAGCTTTAAATTATTTTATACTGTTCGTACCAAATATTACTTTTTTTTCTACATAAAACGTTCTATACGGATTAAGTAAGTATTAAAATGTAACTACTGAAATGCAACCATAGCTATATGTTATCAATTTGTTTTAGTCCTATACGAGGTTTGTTAAAAATATGAATTTTGTTCAAGAGTAACACCTTTATTTTTGATAAAGTCGAAAATTTCTATTACAAAAACTTGACCCAATTAAAAATAACTTTTTTTTTGTTTTTTTTTTAAACATACCTTCAATAAAAACGAACGTTTAACAATAATTAGTGTACACGTAATCTAGAATGTACTGACAAGAAATGTTTGTTTGTTTAAGAATATTATATGTAGCATTATTGTTACTATAGATGCAGTACAAAACAATAGCATATGAAAAAAACAGCAGAAAAATTAAAAATGATAGGAAATAAATACAACTTCACAGCAATATTTAAAACAACTAACACACTGAGATTTATTCTTGTCAAAATCAAACGCAACAACACGCAGGAGAGATCAAAGAACTATATTTCGAAAATGCCTTTCGAATGCACACAAGTGACAGCAAAATGAAGAAGTGTCTATGCCATCGAGCAATAAGACAAAAGAGGGAATGTTAAAGGTAGTGGGGTAAACATATTGATAGACAGGAAGTGCTATTTTGAGAGGCCACTTTACACAAAGAAAGAGAATCTCTTTCCTTGTTTAAGAAATCAAATTTAGTTGGGTTATGTTATTGTTGATGTTATTGTTTGTCAAAAACTGTCACATGAAAGCTTATTTATATTTTCTATTGAAGTTTTTTAACAATTGTTTAACATTTTAGACTATTATCGTTATTAATTAATTAAAACTTTATTGTGTTCTAGTGTTAAAAAAAGTATTTTAATAAATAATTTTAATAAATAAATAGATAAATTATATAATATAAAATATTATGTAATATAAAATAAATTAAATAGATAAATTAAAACCCCTACACCACTGTATGATTATTGTCAAGCGTCATGAAATTTAAATTTGGCGCATTTGCATTTCCGGATATGTCCGCCATCAGAGGCCACTTTTTTGGTCTCCTTTTTCATAACGATTAGATTCCCTCTTTTGTCTTATTGCTCGATGGTCTATGCACATACGCTCTCTGTTTTCAATATTCCTTATCTACCTACATATCCTCTCTATTCTAGTGATTTAGTAATATCTACTCCAATAATTAATTTTCTTTGCTTTATTTTGGATTTGTCTTTTTTATTTATTACTCAAAGCTCTGAACCATATGTCGACACCAGATAGGAATAACCTTGTAACTCCACTAACAATATTTTTCAAATACGGCCTTAATGACATCTTTAATGGATAACCTTCATTTTGGTCTAACAACTTTTATTCTATCTTATGTAAATATAAAGTTGTGTATCAAAATAACCTCATTGTAAGTGCAAATATTTAATCACTTGGTGGAAAAAACGTTGTAACCAATGTTACACTATTAAAAATTTTTATCATTGATGAATATTTTTTATAAAAACTTTGTAACATTGTATACAATATTGTAACTTCGGAAGATTATTGTCATACATGGGATGAAACGTGAGGTAAAAAGGGCCCTAATGAAATAAGTAGTTTGCTATTTGATTTTATTAAGAGAAAAAAGCTGGTGGGTCATTAGAGTTCGGATTTTATTGGGATTGTTGTGGAGGACAAAATCGAAATCCAATAATATTTCTAATGTACCTATATTAATTTATGCAGCTAATATCATGAATGTTACTACTATACAGACTTTTTTTGATGTGGGTCACTCAAACTGAGGGTGATTCAATGCGTACCCTTGTTGAGCGAAGAAAAAAGTATTAAGTTGGTATCAATCGTTCCACGATAGCGATATACACTGATAAGGTGTGCTAAAATCACATGAAAACCATACGATTGAAAAGAGCCAAGTTAAAATGAAATCTTGGACTTTAAATCATTATCAACATACCGAATTGAGATTTAGACATAGATAAACGATAAAATACAATCTTATTTCTGACCAATTATTATTTATAAATTTAGAACGGAAACCAAAATTGAGCAAAGGGGCTATCAAATCCGGGAATAAAAATGTATAAGATTTATGGGAACTACAAATTTCTTTAGTATATGAATTACTTCCCATTACAACTTCAAACTATAAAGATCTTGTTTTGTGCTCTTGTAAAACTATACCAGATTAGACCGTCGAATTTCTCTTGGCGTAGTTCGTCCACCATTTTTATCCCTTATGCCTTTGAGAGTACTGTGAAGATGAAATCAAGAAGAATAAAATATTCGGAAACTGTGTGGTTTCTTGGGGAACTTTTCGTGAAAATTGAATTTTCTTTTGAAACAAAAAAAATTCTTTTGTAAAAAAAGTTTCTCTTTTATACCATTTTACCATTCGATAGTGGCGTATACATTCTATTTTTAACAATTTTAGCATAAGGGCTACTGCTGCCCTAAGGGTGTTATTCATGACCTAAACATGCAATCTTTTTATTAGTTCACGTTCTTCTTTTTTAGCGAGCCTTTATCTAGCTCTTTTTTGCTTGTTCTCTTCATGTTCTACTTTAGCTTTTTCCTTTTTCTCATGATACTCCTGCTACTGTCTGGAGGAGGCCACTGATGGTAATTTTTCCCTCTTCTGCTTTTTTCCTTTTGGTAGTTTTGGCTCAGGCCAATAGAGTACTCTTGTAAAAGGAGAAGATATTATAACATTTGAGACATTTGGTTCTCAATTTCTGAAGTACTAGGTGGATCAATGTCACGTGAACTCGAGGGACCTTTAAAGTAAAGCGTTGACTGAATCACATTATTATTTGGAATGCTATTATGCGAAGTTGAAGGGATTGGCGCTTGTGTCTGTAATTTTTTGACAGGTGTCATATGTACATCTGGTGTGGTGGTCACGTCATATATTTCATCTGCAGAATTGTTGGGGATTTTTTCTAGCTGTGTTTCTGTTTATTACTTTCTTTTCTCTTACAGTCATTATCTTGTTCAGTTTCTTCTCTCTCCTTTTCCGTTTTCTTTTTTGTAATGTATCATTTGCCTGATAATCATAGGCAATTGTTTTATAAAGATAAAAAAGTGACACATATATAATACACTGTATTTAGTAAAGGACAAAAAAGGGACTTTTTTAAAATTGGAGACTCGTGGTTGTCAATTCGCCATTGCTGTACTTTAGTTTTCCATCCCTCTTTAAGAGTGCGAAAAACGGCAACGTCCATGGGCTCTATCAAATGGGTTGCGTTTGGTGGCCAAAAATGGGCCGTAAGAATTTTACCGTTATCTGCACAAAACCTATTAGTATGCAACGTGAAGCATGTCAGTCAATATAAAGTATAACAGATAACTTGTTGTTGTCCACTAGCCAGGGATAAAAAATATTCGCTATAAACTCAAAAAAGTTTCACCAGACATCCACCTAGAATCCGATTTTCCTATTCCCAGTTTGGGGGAATTCATCACTATTAAAAATTCTGGAAGGATCCTCTAGAATGGACCCATGTTCATTTTTATCTCGCGTACTTCTTTAAACCATGTTTGTATATTTTTTGTTGTTACTGAAGATCTGCCCACAGTAAGATTTTGAACTGTTTGCTTCGCTACTTCTTTATATCATTTTAGAAAGCTTTCATACCACCTTCTTTCGGGCCTATTGTTTGTGAATGGATTTTTACGTTTTAAATGTATGATTAGATGTTGAACACTGTCCAGTAAAGTATGTTTCCAACAGGAAAACCAGCTTTAGCTAACGAAAATATCCATTGGACTACAATTGTTTCTTCATCATGTGTTAAAATTGGATCCGGTTCCATTCTTCGACATCGTGGTGTAATGCCTTTAACCTTATATGTCAGAGTGGCACGAGGAACTTTAAACTTCTTTGCTGCCTTCTTTGCTGCCGGCATGATAAAACCTAGAATCTATCTCTATCTAATTAGCCTTCTTCGGTCCATCTTTGGACATAGGCCTCCCAATCCTTTTCCATTCTTCTCTGTCTGTTGCTACAGTCATCCACCTAGATCCCACGTAGATATCTTTTGTTTTTAAGAATGTAGCTTAGTTTGCCAAATGCCGCCCATGCCAGTCTAACTCGTCTCTTTATCTCTGCTGTTTGGTTCTCTTTGTTAAGTTTTATAGTTTGACCAAGATTATAATCCTGAACTTGTTCTATTTCATCTTGTCCGATTTTCATTGTGATGTCCTCATCTGTATTTGTTATGGGTTTGGTCTTGCTGTAATTCATATTAAGGTCTATCTTTCCAGCTTCTACGTCCAGTTCTTTCATCATTTCAAATAATTCTTCTTTTGTATCAGTTATCAATACGATATCATCAGCGTACCTTAGATGTTCAAGCGTTGTCCACAAATTTTTATACCTTTTATTTTTATACCACAAAACCTAGAAAGGAGCCAATAATTGACACTCATTTGATGCAGTAGTTGACACGTGTCAACTACTAGTGGGAGTCATTTTAAAGGTTTCAAAAGTGTTTTTCCATAAACAGAATTATGTATTGAATATAAGTAATAGAAAATATGCATGATACGAATTAAACCGCCTTGTCCCAGTAGTTGATACAAATGGCAACTACCTACCGGTTCTTCTTATGGTGCCTATCCGTTACGGATGATGGATACTAACATGGCTATTCTGACTTTGTTGACTGCTGCCCTGAAAAGTCCGGTAGTGGTTAAGTTAAACCATTTTCGCAGGTTATGCAGCCAGGATATTCTTCTCCGTCCTGGTCCTCTTTTCCCATGCACTTTACCTTGAAATATGGTCCGAAATAGGTCATATCGTTGTTCATTGCGCATTATATAGCCCAGGTATTCTAGTTTGCGGCGTTTTATGGTTACGACTAGTTGCGCGCTCTTTACCCATTCTATGTAGTACTTCTTCGTTGGTAACTCTGTCTATCCAGGAAATCCTCAACATGTGTCTATAGCACCACATCTCAAATGTTTCGAGTCTCTTCAGTGATGCTTCAGTTAAGGTCCATGACTCCACGCCATATAAAAGAACGGAAAATACGTGGCATTTTAGTAAACGAACTTTTATTTCCAATTTTATGTCGTGGCTGTTAAAATTTTTTTCATTTTGACGAAAGCTGATCTTTCCTTCTCGATCCTTATCTTAATTTCCGTCGATTGGTCCCACTGTTCATTTAAGTTTGCACCCAGATAACAAAAGTTGGTGATTTGTGTTATAGGTTGTTGGTTAACTAGTAATTGACCAGGTGGCATCCTATTTTTGCTTATAACCATGTATTTGGTTTTTTTGATGTTAAAATCAAGCCCACACCTGCTACTTACTTCTGCCACCCTGGAGACAAGTGCCTGCAGACCTTCAAGGCTGTCTGCAAAAATGACAGTATTATCAGCATATCTTATGTTGTTCAATCGTTCTCTGTTTATAAGTATTCCCTCGTCTATGTCCGTTATCGCTAGGTTCATAATGTGCTCTGAATATGTATTGAAAAATAATGGGGACAATATACATCCCTGTCGTACACCTCTTTTTATCTTTATATTGTCTATTAACTGATCCCTAACAGCTGCAGTTTGTACGTAATAGATATTGTTTATTATAAATCGATCTCTGTTGTCTAGACCAATTGATATTTTCATTAGTTCGTCATGTTTTATTCTATCGAACGAATTTATTCTATCCTATCCTATCTACTACCGGTACATTTTCAAAACTGCTGTACCAGTAATTGACACTAAAAAATAAAGTTGTTTACACACCAGTAATTAAGCTACAGTATTAAATGCGCTATGATTTAGATATTTTTAGCCTGCACACATAGTTCAGTAAAAAGTACTACGTAAATAAAGAAAAAAAAAAATTGTTTAAAGCTTACCTTCTTATCACCTTTAACAGTAAAAACACAGATCATCATGTACACGTCTGAAAACGATGGCTGCCGTATTGTGAAATTTAAAACCTAAAACTAATAACTTTACCACTGGATCATATATGGCATAATATATCACCCATTTATTTTGCAACGGTTTACACAAAAGGATTTTCATATTTTTAGGATGTACAGTCATATGTGTCACCACCGGTACTGTGTCAATTACCGGTTATACCTTACGTGAAAGTAAAAAGCTGAGTAAAAGTTATAAAATGTGGATTAAGAAAACTAAAAAAAATATAAAAGCAGTCAAAGTAAAAACATAAAATGTTGGTGGATTTTTTTTAAATCGCTCTTTTCTAAACTAACCAAATGTGGGTTACAAAGTTTTTCATATTAAGTATCGAAGTAACAATACTTTCTATGATGCTTTTGTACCGTTTCCGTCATAAAAAACTGGTACAATTCTTATAACCGAAAAATCGTGTTTTTTAAGTTGTGTAAATTGAGCTTGTCACATGTGTCATTCTAATTTCGAAGGCAACGTTGCCAGTTCAACGAAAACATTATATCAAACCAGCTAAAAGCAGGGCTGTGTGACAGGTCGCAAGTTTTTTGTATACTAAAAATTAAAACAATATCGAGCATTCTCGATCAGTCAGTCACATTTATATTTATACATTTATTTAAACATATCAATTTTTTCTATTATCTCAGTACCCATACATTGATTCGTGTTTTATTATAATTTATGAAAATATTTCAATTCAAAATAATGATAGATAATACATCTAGACATGACTTTAAATATGTTTAATTTAAAATCGAGAGATGTGATTGGTTTCTCGTAAAGTGTAGCACAAAACTGTATTGAGTTATGGAATACTACAGTAAATAAAACCCACTGAAAACAAAATTAAAATTTAAGTTGAAATTAATAAAAAATGAATAATTTTTACAGTGAACAAGTGTGGGATTTAAATATATGTATTACAATTTAGAAAAGTTAACATTTTGTCATAGCTCCATTATTATTAATCAGTTCTTGTAATCTTCTAGGAACGTCCCAAGACGTTCTCTATTGAATTAATATTTGGACTTTTAGAGGGCAATGGAAGAACTTCAATGCTATTTTCCATAAGGTAATCCCGTACAGGGTGGGCTTTGTGGATTGAACAGTTATCATGCTGGAACATAAAATTATTGTTGGAGAAAATTTCCCTAACCGACGGCAACATCACATTATCTAACATATATAAATAGGTTTCAGTATTGAATCGTCCTTCAATTCTCCAACACATTCCTAACCTCCTCTATACATCTGAGCCCAAACATTTATAGAGAACCGTCCGGACTTATCACTTCATGAAATATAGTTTTCGTTAAACCTATTTCGAGGAGGTCTATAATCCATTTTTTAAATCTGTTCTTCTAATTCTCATTGCCGTATGGAAGAGGTGCGCTCTTAAATAATTAGTTAATGTTTCATCTTGTTGGGCTGTAGTAATAACGGGTCTCCCACTCCCTCTCCTTCTATCCAAAGTCTGCTCGTTTTCCCATCTTTTTTTAATGTTGTGGATTGTGGTTTTGCTTTTATTTAACTATTGAGCCAGTTGTCGAATAGACCAACCATCTTCTATTTTTGAAATTATTCTCGTTTTATCAAACTGACTTAACTGACGTGGCTTCTTTAAAAATTCACTTTGACAAACTTGTCAAATCTGACTGATGGCAAGCAATATTTTTTATGTTTAATTTTTATGTATAATTGTTCGGATATGTTCGGGAAGTTTTCACGCACTGATATTACATATATGTAGATACTAACCAACATTTTTCAGTTATAAGAGGGTTTTTTACAGTTATAAGAGGATAATGTCATACTGTCACGTTTTGAAAAGAGTTTTTCGCCCCGGATATTTTATAGTTTCTAATCTACGTAGGATAAAGTATAATGTTAGTTTTTCACATTTATTCTTCATGTAATAAATAATAAAATAATAAATTATTTTAGGTAGTTTGCTTGTTACTAAACTTATTGACATAACATACAGTTAACAGTTTGTGTTCTGTAAGTAATTGAAGTATAAAATTACAGTAGATGCATTCTAATAACCTAAGTTTAAATATCGTTCAACATTTTGGACTCAACTCAATTCTCAATTTTCTTTCTGGTTATTAAATTTATTACATACGGTTTTTTGTTGTTAATAATAAAAATAAAACCTATCTAAAAACTTAATACATTTTTAAACGTTATTTTTACGTTTTACGTTTTATTTAAATTTACTGAAATTCCGTTATCTGTGATGGCAACAACGAATTGATTCACGAACCATTGTGTCCAGTCTGAACACAGGTTTACATTGGGAAAAAAAGTGTACCAGTTTTATATGACGGGAAGTGTACCTATATCCCCATTTTTTCATTTTGGGTGATGTGGTTATTTCAGATGAGATTTTGGACTGGGCGATAGTCATACAATAGGAGACTATCGGTTCTTTGTGCAATAACGGGGAATACGGTGCATCAAGAAAGAAAAGAAGAGGAAGACAGAGAGGAAAATGTCTGATCCAAAGAAACATTGCAAATAAAAGCTCAAAAAATAGGATCTAATTGAATACTAATAGGATCTAATTGAATACTAGCGATTCTTGAAATAGCTGGATTAGTGAAGAATATGAATAATTATTTTGTTTTTATAGAAATTTATTTTTAAATATTAGATTAAAGCACATACTTTTTCTATTTACTCTTAGTATAACTATATTTCATTTACAAAGCTCTGATTATATATAACTCCACGGGACAACAATAAAAATTGCAGATTATTACGTTTATTGATCAATAAAATTAGATTCATTTAGAGAATATAATAGAGTGATCCTGATATTTGAGCTTAGAACTTCATTTTTGTAAACGAGGGAAATCCTAGAAGATGGTTGGGAAAGTAAATGTGGTGGGAAAACCGACGATGTCTGGCTCCTAGTAGTCGCGACACGTTTTTCATTTGCAGCTGCGGAAAGAATGATGAAAATAGTCTG